TGTGTTGGTGTCTGAGTATGTTATGATGATTTGACAGAGTGCTAGCTAACAAAATGCCAGTCAATAGAGGAGATGTGTGGATTTCATACATGGGGTCAGTACTACTGTATAAACCCACGTGTGGTTTTATGTAGACGTCTGTGCAGCATCGTGAACGGTCAGCATATTAAATCAGAATCATTAATCACCACTGACACTTGTTTGTTTTTCTCTTAGTTAGCTTGTCATTAGTCATGGTGATGAGTTAATGCTAATTCTCTTGAAAGCAATGCAGGAATACTTTCAAACAGCGGCAAGCATCAGTGCCACTATCATTCAATAGACAACATGTCTATTGTCACACACTAATTAGTCTATTCTAGGGCAAACCCAAACAGTGTAGCAAGGGAGTATGGATAGCACGCAACTGGGTTACAGGCTAAAAACTGAAAGCAGGTTTTGTAGCACATCTATGAGCAGCCAGCATGCAGGGAGGCTATTGTTTGTAATGTTCATCTCGCCCACTGTGCTTTTAAGAAGACAGATGGATTTTGTGCTAATTTCATCCAACTTTCCCTTCCATTGGGTCTGGCTTTTGATCAATGCACCTTCATTTTAGCAAGAACTGTAGAGTCTGACGAACATCTGCTCATTTTTACTGTTACAGCAAGATATTAGTATGGGTAGCAAACTAATTATTTATAATTTACTCAAACATATACTATATACACTATATATTTGGGTGTAATCTCAATTCATATTCATAAATCAAATATAGTGATCAATAAAGTAACTGTTTGCTTGGTGGCTGACCTGTGACTACCTTACTGTAACCAACAAAAACCTCTATGATCACATTGATTCTGTTTGTTTTAACCAGTGCAGTTTTGCATATTACGGGGGGGGGGGAGTAACAGATACAAAAGATGCACTCACTGACTGAAAATATAACTTGTTAAAGACTTTTTTCTTCAACACTTTGGAGCAGGGGTGCCCAATCCCAGCCCTCGAGAGCTACCGTCCTGCAGCTTTTAGATGCATCCTTGTTCCAACAAACCTGAATCAAATGAATGGCTTGTTATCAGGCCTTTGCCAAACTTGATGGCATGCTGAAGAGGTAATCAAACCATTTGATTCAGCTGTGTTGGAGTAGGGATGCATCTAAAAGCTGCAGGACGGTAGCTCTCGAGGGCTGGGATTGGGCACCCCTGCTTTAGAGCACTTTAATGATAGAGTAGCTCTGGTGTGAAAATGCAATATTTTAATGACTGTACTACAGGCAGAACGTGATCTGGGATTGTCCATCCATTTTCTTCTGCTTATCTGAGTTCAGGTCGCGGGGGCAGCAGTCAAAGCAGACTCGCCATGGCCACCTCTTCCAACTCATCTGGGGGACACACCAAGTCGTTCTCAACCCATCCAAGTTTTAGTGAGGGAGAAACGTATTTAATCTCCTTTTGACCAGCAAGAATTTGGATCAAGTATATTATCGAACGAAAGTTTCATTGGCAAGTATTTAAGGATTAGGACTGCACAATTAATCAGAGTTTAATCTCAATCACGATTTTGGCTTCCCACAGTTACTGAGCGATACTGAAAATGAAAAGCAAAAGTAAATCGAGTGCTCCCTACATCAGCGCCTCACCTCAAGTCTGCATGTGCCAATCACAGCTGTTCCCTGCACTGCACTGCTTGTTTTCTGTCTGGAGGAGTACCACTGTATTCAAAGACAGATTATGCAACAAAATTCAAATGTCTGCCACAAAAGAAGGCAAAGAGCTGGACCCTGGAAGGCTTCAGAAAAATGGTCAACATACTGGAAAAAGATGTTATTCCCTCCCCAACTAAGTGACAAAACATGTGCAGTACACAAAGCAGGGGTAGATAGGTCAGGTACTTTACTTTGAGTTTTATTTACATCAACAATGAATTTAGTAAGGCCTTTATTTTATTTGTTTGCTTTTAGATGTACTTAGGCCAATTGAAGAAATGCAGTGTCGCCTGCAAAGACGTTTTAATTAACAGAAATGCAGCACACTGCAAAACTGAAAGCACTCCCCTGTCAATTTCATTTTGTGTTACGTTTTGGTACAATTCTTTTTATTTATGTTTCTTATTTTCCTTCTAAGGGATGCACTGAATTTAGGAGACTGAGGAGAAGTAATTTTATTTTTGTCAGGGGGATTTTGGGTTATGTTTGAATTGTTGATTTCTTATGTTAATATCATGTGCTATTGTCAAGTTAAGGGTTGTATTATTTAGGAGATAACACTAAGTCCTAGTATTATTATTAGTTTGTCTTAGTTAGTTATCCATGTCCCCTGGTTTATGTGTCATGTTCACTGTTGGGAAGGTTACTTTTCAAATGTATTCCACTACAGATTACAGATTACATGCCCCAAAATGTATTTTGTAACGTATTCAGGTAAGTTACTCAATGAGAGTAACGTATTCTGAATACTTTGGATTACTTAATATATTATCATGCTTTTTACAACTACATGAATGTCCTATTGCTGTGTGATTTATTACCATTATTGAAGGTTACTCTTCATACCAATACCGACTAGATTTTTAAATCTTAATATAAAATGAGTAACAGTCGGGTGGACATTAGGTAAGGCTGCACTTTATTTTATTTTTTTTTTTTTAAATCAAATTTAAATAATAGACTGTTCACTTCTTTACAAACCGTTTAAATTATGAATTCAGAAGGAGTTTCTTATTTTGCTGACTGTAAGCAAATAAAATTAGCTATAAATTAAGTTACAGAACAAATGAAAAGATAACAGAAGTTTGTTGATCATGTCGAGTTTGACAGTGGAGGTTTTTAACGTGACCGCTAACAGGGCCGGTAGTCTTAGCGCTGACTGTGAAATTCATCAACAAGCCATATGACCTTAGACAACACATATTTTCTTAGACAACACAGAACAAATACAAACAAACAAACAAATGGCCGACCCATGACTCACAATAGGAAATCAGATTAAAGCTCACAGCACTGAAAAAGAGAGCTTAAGACAAGAAAAGCTCATTGGAAATCCCACAGAGTGTAAAGGACTTAGTCACACTAGAGACAAAACTGGACGGCATCTAGGAAAAATTCATGGTTACCCGGTGACTGCATGGCATTTTTTGCAAGTAGTACTCTCAATCTGTGGAAGACCACTTTTGGTCACAATGTGATTGCACGGGTAGTTGTTGGAAGGCAACCTGTCTCCACAAAATTAAAGTCCCCCTTGGACTCAAACATTTGCAAATAATTTCTGTCCAACGCATAAACGCAGATTGACAACTTTTTCAGTCAGTCTGAGTCGGTCTGTGTCCATCAGTCCATCAACTCAGCTGGTTGTATTTTGGTTATGTTCCTATATAAAAGCAAGGTTGCTGTGTGTAATTCTGCAGTTAAATCTGCATTTTGCAGCAACTATGTCACTGTTTGTGGAGGACTTTCTGTTTCAGATCTATGAGCTTCTTAGTCAATGTGAATTTCAGTCGATGCAGAAAGCAACAGATTTGTTATTTGGGCTAATTTGTGAACGTTAATTGCTGTATCGCCACAAACAGACTGCACGTAGCTGCCAACTTGACTCCATTCAAACTGATAGCACACTAACATCACCTAATTATCACCATCTTGATGCACCAAATTGTGGACCTGGTCTTTAAATAAACCATTTCAAAGGCAAAAACATCATAAGTTTGTTCCATACTGGTGCAGGACTAGCTGTCCTGGTCCAGGATCGGTGACCCAGGGTTTTGTGTTTTGTTGTTGATTTCATCATGATTTATTATTGCTAGTCTCGTTTTCAACACACACACACACACACACACACACACACACACACACACACACACACACACACACACACACACCCCGCGGTCTTTTCGCTACTCAGGTTAAATAAACCCCAAACCCCAGTAGCTGTCTATTGTATTGAGTGTCCACTACAATAAAAATAAAAGCGTTCTAACATCTCACTTGCTAGTTTTTATTAAGGTATGTACACGTATGTACATGTACACTATTTTTATTAATAGAGATTTCACTACTGAGGTTAAACATAATATATAAGTCACTTAGATCACTTCTAAATGTTAATGTTTGGTTTATTTCAGTGTTTTATTTGTTCCTGAGTAAACCGCTTTGGCTGTGATTAAAGTTAAGCTTCATAACATATTACTCACAGTTAAATTAAGAGGGGACGGCAGTAAAAAGGTCCAGACCTGTGTGTGACATCATCAAGTACAAATCGCGAGTCTGTACTCGCGTTCTCGGCGAGTCCGTACTTGCCGAGAACGCGAGTACGTACTCGCGTACTTGAGAATTGAGAAAGGGCCTCAGATTAGCCCCAGCTGTGCTTTCTTCCTGTTTTCCATTCCCTCGTTACTCCCTGGTGTGTTTTCCTCTGTGTTTTCAGCCATTTCCTAGTTACTGGTCCTGGTTTGTTTCCAGTTTAGTTTTGTATTTGAAGTAAGTTATTTATGGCCAAAATAAAGCTACCTATTTTAGTTCACGCTTTCGTTTCTGAATCCTGCGTTTGGGTCCTACATCCTTCCTTCCACACAGCAAATCCATGACAGAAGCATTACAAGAGCGAATGGGAAGTGATGGAAAAACACTGGGCTTGGCATTCCTGAACTGAGCCAGTGGTTTAGGCATTTTTAAAAAAGAATAATTTACTCAGGAAACGCTTGTCATTAGCAACTACAATAAGGAGGACATCTTTCCCCATCTGATTAAAAATGTTTATTTCAACCATACGTGCAGTATTACTGCTTGTAAATGCTTTTTGAGCCAAACATATTTTAGAGAATTACTGTACGAGGTGAAAATAAAATAGAATGGGAAACTTTTTGTTTCCCGTAATCACCGCGTGCTGAAGCATCGCCTTGTTGTGTTGACTGAATAGATACTCCAGCTCTGATTGCTCCATTGGCATGCAGGCACCAAATAAACAGAGAGAGAGAGGAGCAGAAAGGCAGTGCAGCATGAATGCTGTGTGAAGTCTACATACCGAAAACTGTGCGCGCTGGGACTGATTCTTTATTTATCCAGAAGGACACTTGGGAGAGGATTACTGTCATTATGCAGGGGATATACGTCTGAATCATGAAGTAGCCCATTTTACGTTTCAAGTGGAAGTAGACCGTCATGACCACATATTCACCTGGGGGATCAACAGAAATGAATTAGTTTCATTAACAAAGAATTTGAAGTTGCAGGCTGACAGATTTCATTAATGCAGCTCCAGACAGATGTCACATTTGATCTGGTTTTCTCCCCTCACTTCTACATTGTGTCCATTTGCACTCTGCTGTAGCTTTCTGCTGCTAAAATCTTTTTTTTTTGGTGTGGTGTGTGGGGCTTTCAGTATTTTTGCGAGCCAACTGGCTCTGAAATGTCTCAACGCATGATGTTTGAGGGTTTCATTTCACAAGACTGTGTGCTAGCCATGGTCCAGTAGACCCACTGTCATGTCTGTGCAAGTGTCAAAACTCTATATCCCCCAAATATGCGACGCCCAAATCTGTCTTGTGGAAACACAGTGTAGACTTGGCAAATCTTCCAAGTATGATTCAATATAATGCGCTCAGACAGATGTGGATCTTTTCTTTTCATAAAAAAAACAGACTCTTTTGTAAAAGTGATAAATGAACAGCAGTGTCCCATTATTCCTCGAGCGTTCACTGTAACTCGGTTGATAAAGCAGGACGGTGAAAGGATGAGCAAATCTCACCTGTGATGGATTTAATCGTTTCACTGGAGACCGTCTGGCCAATGAGATCATACTGAACGAGGCTGGAGGACTCTGGAGGGACCTCCACTGAATGCTCAGGCCCTTTGGTCCAAGTATAGATCATCTCCGTTTTAGGATAGGCATCTGTGGGCAGACAGCAAAGCCACACCGACATGAGTCACTGACTGTAAGCTGTGAGCAGTGCAGCAGAAAAACAAGATGCTCAGAAGAAAGCAGCTCTTTGTATACTGTAAACTGTCCATATGTGTGCAGGATTTTACTTTGATATAATTGAAACATTATCATCACTGTAGATTTCTTCTTGTCACCAACCAGCTGTTAATAGCACCTTTTCCCCTTTACCACTTTTCTCCTGTTTTCCTTTGGATTGCCATTCTTCACACTGTTTGTATATGTGATAAATGCTACATCCTCTAGCACTTCTGCTTTTCCTTCTCAGATAATGGGGTTGCTATTCCTGGAACAAATTCTGCATATTGTTATGTAAAAGTGCATTAAACCAGAAACCATTAGGAACGAGCTACACATTAGTTATTTTGTCTGTTGTCAACTGTTGTGGAAATTGCTGCTAAACTTAAAACATCTGCATTTATTGGGCCGGTGCAACAACACAAGTTTTCATTTACTAGCCAGCTTTTACCCGGACTTCATTTTCCTGGTGACGTGGCTGCTTGCCGTTAGGTTCATACGTTTTTGGAGGGATTATGTATAAAAATGGCCATCATTCCAAAGTAATGAATCCAGTTATTTTGTTTGAACTTGAACTCAAAAATCCAAGATGAATTTGTTGCAGACTTTCAGCTTTTAATTCCACTGTGTTGATGTACAGAGGCAAAATTATTATTGTGTCATTATCCACAAACCTGTGGATCTAACTGTATGTAGCACTTTTTTACTCAGAGCGTTTTTATTCCAAGCCTTTTATTCTGAAAGATGCTTGGGCAGGTTGGGAGTTTGTTATCTTGCTCAAAAGCACATCAGTATGCTGACTGGAAGAACTGGGAAGTGAACCAACCTTCCCATTAAAAGACAAGCTCTACTTCCTTGGTGGGTTGGTGTAGTGAAACTAAGTTGAATTAATATATTTTATATGCAGCATGTATTATATTGCCTTTATTTTATTGCCTAAATTTAAAGAAATGACAACTAACTCAAATTGATAATAACCTTTATCTCTACAGTTGTTGCTTTGTCTGTTGATAAAGGTTCAACGGTAACTTTATTGTCCCCAATGGGAAATTGATTCGCATGTCCACCCATGAAGCAACACAAAAAGCAAACAAACACACACACAAAAAAAGATCAACGTTAATGTTAATGCTTAAATATATTATAATAAACTATAAATTGATTAATATAATAATTTTTTTTTTTGCTTTAAGTAGGATATGTTATAGATAATTCAATTAATTAAGTCGTGTCCAATATTCCTACATTTGAGGTCTTTAAAGGTTCCTGTTAATAAAGTTGATATTCTTATTATTAGATTCTACTAGAGTAGCTTTGCATGACTCATAATTAAAATCAATCCCTATTTGTCTTACACTGGGCCTTAGTGCTGCCCCTCAGTTCATCCTGTGTCTGAAATGAAAATTTGGAGGAACTGATTGGCTGATTGGTTGCCCCTCTCAAAACAGAAAAGAGCAGTTGGGTGGGGCCTCAAATGTCCCTGTTACACTCAAAATATGTTTCTTCACCCTTAATAAACATGAGACAATCATTTTGAGTAAAATGCAACTAAAATATGCAGAGTGTTAGATCACCATCCTGTGTGAGGTTTATGCCTCATCTGCGCTACAGTAACAGTAGTAAATTGGTAATTACCAAAGTAAATTTTTATGTTTTGTATGTACTGTTTTACAAAAAAGCAGAAAAATGTATTTTTACAGTTATTTGCTTGTATTTCTGAACAGAAAAACATTTTAGTGGCTGAATGTTATGCTCGATTTATTTAGTCTCAGAGAAGTTCAGTGTGCCAGCTCAAATTCACATGTTTGAAACAAAAAGTTTGTCAAAAACATATCTTTTTGTTTCAAACAGGTTTTATAGGTGTAAAAATGTAGACAGTCCCCTCTAAGTGAATCACAACAAACAAGAAGTCTCCACCAAAAACTTTTCACGAATAATTTTTTATTGGTTCTACCAGATTGACTCATCATCTCACCTCCACTCAAGCATGAATAATTCACTAATCTGCATAAAGAAAATGATTCCAGTGCAGGTTTTACAATCTATTTTGGTAATTGTGGACCACACCATGACATCAGAACAAATGAAAGTAAAAATATATGATAACAGTAAAACTGTCCAATTAGTAAAGACTCAAGCTGCCACTTTGTGTCTAATTAAAGTTGTAACAGTCACACATTATATTACAAGTTTGTTTATTCCCCGTTGTTGCTTCCCCTCTGTTTTATTTTGTTTTTTGTGCGTTTTTTTTTTCTGTATTCTGTATTCTCACTGGCGAGGTTGACCAGAGTGCGAATGCAAAACAAAATGCCAGTTGTCTTGGCCTGCCACTCCCTATGGGACTCCGTATCGGCAGGATACCAACTGTGCTGCCAAAATGAAATGACTCTGGTGTGTCATGGAGTGGAACGCAGTGCCTGTGCACACAAGTCCAGATGGAGAAACAGAAAAAGGAGACGGTGAGAGGAGAGAGAGGGGGAGAGATGGAGGAAAAATGAAGGCAGGGCAGACAGCGAGAAAATTAGCACGCAGGCACACATCGACACATGCACCGGCTATGGAAAATAGCTGCATAGGTCTGCGCTATCCTGAGGCAGAGGAAGGGATTCTGACCTTTCCCTCGCTTCAGGCCACATCAGATCCATGGTTGCTTCCTCCTGACTGGAGGCTAGCAGCAGCACAGGATGGTGAAAGGACGGGAGGAGGGGGGATGACAATAACCGAGGAATGTGAATTTGTCCTCCGCAATGTCACCAGATTGGGTAATTGACAGCGGGTGTAGAGGCAAACTCGTTGTCTTTTTTCCTCTCCTTTCTCTTGCAGATGTAATCTTCAAATCGCTGCTGCTCTCTGATAAGACGCAGCTGCTCGTTTTTTGAGAAGCTCCTTTATTTGAAATAAGTCATTTCTGCTGACCAGTGGGCCCACTGTGAACACTGGTGCTGAGTTGGGCGTTTATTGTTCACGATGAAGAATGAAATGTTTCATTATTAACTATAGCATTTAGTCGCTTTCTGCTCAGCTCTTTAGCGCTCCTTTTCAGCACAGCATCCATTTCAGTACCAAGAGGAGGAAAGTGGCTTCATGAACTGAGCTAGGACAATATTTTCTTTGTCTTAGCCTTCCACTGGTGTTTTCTCTTTTTTTACCCACTCTGCTTAGTTTAGATTCAGATTCAGTCTAAACGCTCTTATTTGGTTGTTTATAAAGTGGTCACGCTATCCTAACCGACTGCTACACAGCAGCTGTCCGGCCGAGGAAGCATGGCGTCCTGAAATAGAATCACACTATTCATCTTAGAATCCAGCTTTTTTTGTCCTTTCAATAAAGTCACTTCAATTGTGTAAGAGTGGAATACAACTGATTTACAAAATAATCATCCAGGTAACTCACATCAGATCTTTGCGTATTACACGCTCATTACACTGCCACCTGTTTTAATGTGCAAGTTTATCTGAGTTACAAGAAGTAAAGAACCAGAAGTGGATTATTTGCTTACACTTCTACTGTACTCTTGTATGTTTAGCTCAAAAATTAATTTAACTGAATTGACTTACTCCAGTATTTTACATTGCTGTGACATTTTCTTCCTTTTTGAGGTGATGAAACTGATTATTTTTTAATTAACTGGAAGTATTTTGATGGTTCACTTTCCATTTAGAAATGATCATTTCAGAGTGCTTTTTCTTTTGTGTACATCTGCCATAGTGTGCAGCTGTTCTTTGGTATTGCAAAGTCCAAAGTGGGAGTGCTGGTGAAATTCCAGGATTAAAAATCTTAACTGAGATTTTCTACACTCTCTGTCACACTGAGTTACTCTGTGTCGAGTTGCTCAGGCAGCGTTTTGTTTATTTTTATGTTAGACTCTCAAACATGCAACAGAGTGAGAATACACAATGACTGGATATTGATTGTGTTTACAAATCACTAATTGTTGTATTTAATTTTAAAAATTATACTTACATTACTCGCGTCTTCCCAAAGTAACAGACTTACAATGCTACAATGCTGTTATGTTATGTTATTACTCAGGTACAAATTTTCACTGTGATAATGACTTATTAATAAAATCATTTGACAAAACATTGAGGACGAACAGAATTCACATTCTGATAAAATGATAGATTTTTTAAAACTTTGACTCCTTTTCCTCATTCAAAGGCACTGCAGGAATATTAGAGGTTAACAGTAATCTTACATGCATGTTTGGATCACTTTGTCCTGTCAGACCTAATCAGCAGCCTCTTCCTGTTTTCTCTCTTGTAGCACAGCCAGAACATTGAAAGGAGGCTCACAATGGTACCGTTTATTTCCTGTCATGATGTAGCTATATAAAAAGAAAATAAATCATCATGTCTTTCTCCTCATCTCAGCTTCTGTCCATTTAGTTTATATTTAAATAATACCATTAATATTAATAATAAATCCTATTGGATGGATGGATAAAATACTGACTTTGTACATATACCGAATTTCCCGGAGGAACCCACCCGAGGGATTAATAAAGTTTCATCTAATCTATCTACATTAGTACTCTACACTAAACTCCTGGTGTTGTAAGTGTTGTTCATCTGTTTGCATATTTTTGCATGTTTTCAATAAGTTTATGTTTGAAAAATGCTTTTTTATATGTCATATTGTTACTATTACTTCCACTTAATTTCCCCCTTTTATAAACTATATATGTTGCAGTTGTAACAAAGCAACTGTGCAAACTGTGTGTCAATAAAGTTTTCTGATGCTGATGTCACCAACTCACACACAAAGAACTTACAGCTGCCAAACTTGAGGGGGCATGCATGTGCATCCATGGGGAAGTCCACGAGCTTCATGGGACACTCGGCGCTAATCGTCAGCCTGTTGCAGAACAGAGGAGAAGCGTTTGACTTAGAACCAATAACAAGGCAATAAGGGCTTTCTTTTGAAAGGTACACCAAAAACTACTGCCTACATGGTTCTATTTGTTCAGGTGTTTTAAAACAAACAAAGGTGGTTTTTCAATTGTTGCTATGCAATCATTGATTCTGCTGATCTTTATATAAAAAAGGCCAATTACTATCAAACAATCAACTGCTCTCCTGAATGAATGTGAAAGTTTGGCATGTGCACTGCCTCCACACAGCTCTCTACTGTGTACACAGCGAGAGCGGGTTTTTGATTTCACAGGAAATCTCTTTCATTGCTTTATAACAAACAAAGTCTGTCATCCCTCCTATCCCATTTTAATGAGCAAAAAACACTAAAAAGAGAAAACAAATACATGAAGTGTAACTAACACAAGCAGGCTTTTTAGATGGATGCAAAATTAGAGCTGGCTGCAATCTGTAGATTGGCATATTATTCGAGTTAATATATAAGTACCTCATGGTGTAGAGGATGGTGCCGTTCTTCATGATGCGGAACAGCCTGTTGGGCGCCGTCATGTTGTGAGCGACGGACCTCTTGCCGTTCCTGAAGAAGGTGTCCGGTGTCCACACCTTTGTTACCATCAGGTTGTTCAGCCTGAGAATCTCTATCGGGCCCTCGTACATCAACCTCCGGTCTACCCACATCTGGCGAAAAAATACGTCCATTGTGTATTCCTACGTTGGGAAAAAAGGACCAAAAATAAGACCAGCTGGAAGAAATTGCTTCGGTTTTTCATCCAAACATAAAGCAGGCTTGGTTGAGTGGCTCTTGGTTGAGCAAGATAGTCATTGTCTTCAAGTATTGATCTCTGTGTCTTCTGTAGTTTGACACTCAATTTAGAATAAACAAAAAGAAAGTCATAAACAAACATGAGATAGGATAGGTACCATTTCAACGTCTGAGACAGGCCCAAAACTTGTCACATAAATGTCAGTCTTGACCTCAGTCACAGGACCTGTTGAGATAATGAAACAGACAAGTGTCACATTTAATGACCGTTTACTGGTGTAAATCCTTCAGTGTCGCGGTCATAAAAAGACAGGAGTCCTATTCATACTTGTTTAGCCAATCTAAAAGCCTTGCAGTAACTTATCTCTTCCAGAGCTGTAGCGCCTTTGTTGCTGTTTCCATTCTGTTCACTTTAAAGCGAAGCTGGTACGCCTGCATGTCTGAACATCTCTGCTGACAGGCTGCTTTACAACCAGCAGTGAGGCATCTCTTTGAGAAATATGGCCGTAGAAACCCAGAACTGTACTTTTAGAACTTGAACTGTGCATTAGGACGTTTGTGTGCTGACATACACACAATTATGTAACCACACTCACTCAAACGTGCCAGCTCAGAGGCCCATCTTCAGTGGGCACAACTACCAGGCTTGTGCACAACTCAGCAGCGCTCGTGTTGTGATACACTAAACCACAAAGCAGTATGTTGCGTATGCAAATCACATAAAACATTGTAGAGAAAAAGGTCATTAAAATGTTGCCATAATGTTCCCATGAAAACATGTCATGCATGTCGTTGGCTTTCTACTTCCCCCATGCTGTTAAAGAGTTTCACTAAGGCGTTCATGCTCATTTCACAGTCTTAACCCTGCAATGCCAAGTGCATCATATTTGACAGATGAGTTTTAGAGACCTGTCATTTTTTCCCCCAAAAAAACCTAAAACAGCTGCATAGAAATGCCAGTCTGATACAAATCTGATGCAAATTACTGGGCTGAGCTGTCTACTAAGGTTGGTGGGTCAACCCCTGGCTTCTTCAGTCTTGGGCAGTTTCTTCATGGGCAAGAAACTGAACCTCAAGTTGCTCTCTGAGTGTTAACTGGTAAATGGTTACTGGACTAGTTCTTGTATAGCACTTTTCTACTCTACCTGAGCACTTAGAGCACTTTATACAACTTGCCTCACCCATTCATACCCAAGCACATGCGAGCACTGTTTTTTCTTTGGTTAAGTGCTTTTTGTCTAACATTCATAGACAGACTATTGGATCCATCAAAGAGCAACTTGGGGTTAGCATCTTTCCCATGAAGACCGGAGCAGCCAGGGATCAAACTACCAACCTTCCTATTATTAGATGACCTCATTAGAGTGTGAATGTGTATGGATGTTAAAAAGAAAACACTTTGCCATAGAAAAAGAAAGGTGCTGGCATGGGTATGAATGGATTAATAAGGCATGTTGTGTAAAGTGCTCTGAGTGCTCAAGTAGCCGTCCATTTAACATAAAATTTCTCAGCTTCAATAAAAACCAGTTTCAAAAACTTGGAATTTTCTGGCAATTATTTCATGGTCCAGGCTGTAGACTGTTAGGCTGTGCAAATAAAAGTGCACATTTTTTTTAATTATGGCATATTTGATGGTCATTTTATGTTTTTTTCTTAGAAACGTGTTCTTCCTCCCCACCATCACCAAGTGCTTGTTCACAGATCAATGACATTCTCTCTCCACCCCTGCAGGAGCTTTACTTTACAGTATCAAGTGCCTTGAGATGACTGCAGCTGTGAGCTATATAAATAGAATACACCAAAATTGAAATCTTTAGCCTCCCTCAGCAAGTGGATTGTTCCCTCTGCTCATTTAGAGCGCTTCAGGGGTGTAGTATGATTACTATGGGTGGAACTGACTTGATTTAAACCACACTAATGGGGTGTTTTGTTGCTCAGCAGTGAGTTTGCAGCTATCTTTAGAGTACATTTTACGCTCTCTTACATTAAAAAGTCCAATAACAAGCGAAGCTCCCTTTTTAGTGGTTTAAAGATGTCACCGGATGCTTTTATTACTCGATAATGTGGTTAGAGCTACGAGGTATGGCTTTTAAAAATAAATTTTTAAAAAGTAGCATAAATTACAGAAGAAATAAAATTTCACCTGGTGGTTTGAAGATTCTGGATATTTCCGAGTGGTTACGTAGCTGATATGACTACTTTTATTGCAGAACACTCTCAATAGTGCGCAAAAATAGTGCGCATTTTTCTAAAATACCTCCGAATCCAGGTCGCAGCCTGTTGTCATAGCCGTCCAGAAGTCGGTCCAAAATGCGAGTGAAATTCTCCGGATAGATCCTTTCATCCTTTTTTGTCTGCGCAGAGATTTTCTTCATACTATGAAGAAGAAGAAGAAGAAGAAGAAAATCGGGATACTTGTAAGTTGAGGGCTGAAAACACAGCTCGGCGGCAGGTTTCAGCACCGCGGACAGAGACTCACCAAGTCAGCAAACAGAAAAAGTAGAAGAGGGTCCGAGTAAACGCGGGGCGCATCGCTGTCACCATCTCCTTCTTCTTGGCAGAAACCATCCTTGCATGCCATACTTCAAGCCTCTTCACATCTCACCAGCACCAGCACCAGCAGCAGCAGCAGCACCACTACCAGCGGCAGCAGCTGCCTGTGTCCCGGAGTAAAAAAAGGGAAAGAGGAGCAGTAGGCAGGGAGCGACACAGGGCAGAGCGGCGCAGAGAGGAAGAGGGAAGTTGAGAGCCCTTTTCCTCCCGATCCTGCAGTCTCTCTGCCAGGCGCGCAACAAAAACTCACACGTGCACACGCGCGCACACACACAAACACGCACACACACATACGCGCACACACCTTCACCCCGAGCCCTGGTCACCTCTGGTCCGCATCTAAGCTGCTCTGCTGCTGCTCAGCACCCAGGCACACAAACAGTCCTTCCCCTCTCTCCCTCTCTTCTTCACTCTGTTTGCTTCAGTGTCTCACTTCTTTCTCTCCCTCCTCTCCCGCTTTCTCTCTCTCTCTCTCAGACACACACGCGCGCACCTCCTTTGGTCAGGACACAGATTAGACGTGCGCTGCTTTGAAATAGCTTAAGCTCACAAGAGTCACATCTCTGACTTCACCCTGCTGTCAAAACTGGAGAAGCAGGAAGCAGAGGCTTTCTCCATCTCCTCAAAGCCCATCTCAGCCCCTCCGCCTCCACCCATCAACATCTTTTTGCATTCAGTTTCCAGCTCTAAGAAAAAAGTGTACTTTTTTTAGTCACCAAATCTCCAACAAATGAAGATCTTCTCACTCTGACCTCAGCATCGCTGCTCTGTGACAGCGTCGCACGCAGCCTATAGCCTACATGTTGAACTAGTTTCAGGAATGCAATGGTGAGCGCCTGTATTAAGATTCAAATGGGTCAGTCTTGTCGCAATACGCAATCACACACACACACACACAAAGGCACACAGGTACTGTAGAGGAAGTGGGACAAGCCACATGCTGCTTCACAGATTTCTCTGCACCTGGGACAAGCACAAGACCTTCACTTGTGTGTGTGTGGTGTGTAAACTGAGAGCGTGTGTGTGTGTGTGTGTGTGTGTGTGTGTGTGTGTGTGTGTGTGTGTGTGTGTGTGTGTGTGTGGAGCTGAAGGTGAAGTGCGGGTAAATCTCAGGATAAACAAGATGTCTGGGTTCCACCACACTGGCTTTCCTGATTAGTTTTGAAGTGAACACACACACACACGCACACATGCACATTTTACTTTTTTTAATTTTAGCTGAAACAGAAGCCACTTAGTGCAATGCAAAGCTGAAAAAACATCATGTAGATATATTACATGCAGGCTGAAGTCATGCAGTCTTATACCGCAGCTCCCAATCCCCTGCACAGCCGCCCACCCCAGCCCTCCCACAATACACTAAAGCAAGGCGGCTCTGTGGGGGATGAGTAATACGTGTGTTCTTTGTGGGGCCCGGCTTTCGTCCAGCGTGTGTGTGTGTTTTTTCCTTCTTTCTTTTTAGACATTTTATTGCAGTTTGCTCTTTTAATGGAAGCACTTTGGACATAGGGTAAAAAAAGAGGGTGTAACAATATTCATTCAGTAAATGCCTCGAAATATCAGATGTAGAGTTGTAGGAAAAGTAACGTTTGCCTTATTATGCAATGATGACCTTTTCCTGTGAGTATGGCCAGTGTTTAAATTACTGTGCCTGGTGCATCATTGTGTTAACATTTGTGCCCTTAACGTACACACACACACACACACACACACACACCCTAAGAAAATTGCAAGAGGTCTCTAATTTAGTTTTGGTTATTGGACTCTCCTGTGGGTTGTGTTTTGTGCACGTGTGTTTGCCTCGGAAACTGTTTGCCCTGTGATTCCTTGAAACTGTTTCTTCTGCTTTGTAAGCTATATGCCCTGCAGCAGCAAAAAACTGCGACGATAACCCAGTTTTTTAACAGTGTGAGCGCATGTGTGTGTGTGTGTGTGTGTGTGTGTGTGTGTGTGTGTGTGTGTGTGTGTGTGTGTGTGTGTGTGTGTGTGTGTGAGAAGGAGGAGGGTAGAGGAGGAGCGATGAGGCTCTGATTGTTGGTCAGTGTGTGTGTGTTGAAAGCGGGTTGAGGGGCATGCCAACAGAGGGTCATTACATTACCTCCTGTAGGAGCCGTGCAGGGCCTGCTGGCAGCCATCAGAGAGTCCCAGCCCGATGACACGCGCGCGCACACACACACACACACACACATGCACACACACACCTACAGCTGCTGCGGCAGGGCTTGTTAACTCAAGCTCAGCACATGTGAAAGACTGCTGTCTTCACTGTGTTTCACTTAATCTGCCAGAGTGGTGAGATCATACAGTAATTCTGTGCTCTTTTCTTACAGTGGAAAGTGACATTTACTTACTTAGCACTTCACTGTTACATGGTATCAACATGTAAAGCACCACAAAAAAATCACTTTCACTCCATAAGAACTTATATGACCATTATTACTCATATCATGTTCTCTGCATTACAGAGAACATGATCGGTTAGACAGTTATTACCTCGTTTCTTCTCCTTGATTTGCTTTCCTTTCTCCTCTTTACTGTCTCAATTTCACTTCCTGTTTTATTTTGAAGGCTCCTCACATGGCTTTTACTTTCCTGTTTTGTTCTTTTCCCACCCTCCCTAGCGTCTGAGTCTACCTGTCCCTTGGTCTACACTCTCTGGTGTGTATTGAGTATTTTGTCGTTTCTCTGCCTTGTACCTCCTTGGCTCCTCTGTCCCCCCATCCTCATGCCTGTGCTCCAGACAGCAATTTCTCTGCACCATGCTGAAGGATGTTTCAATTCATAAAATGGATCTGGAGGACAGTCGATTGAGAACAGAGGAGCTGTATTTGAGTTGTATTCTCCGTGGAAGTGCTTTTATACGTCATAGATAAAAGAGGCATTGTACACAATGCTTCCGTGTATTCATAATTTATTTCAGTTATTTAAAATGATTCTGCTTTTTGCTGTGTGTGTGTGTGTGTGTGTGTGTGTGTGTGTGTGTGTGTGTGTGTGAGAGAGAGAGAGAGAGAGAGAGAGAACGAGAGACTGAGTTTCATTGTGAATTTAATTAAAGTACTTCTAAAAATAAAAGTTGTCATGAGGACTGTTATGCTCTTCTGGCATCTGAAATCATAACATACAGCAGTCGGCTGTAACAAAACAACTGACAGATGATGCAGCTGTGCCAAACGTCATATTTAATTGACTTTGCTTTAAAATGAACGCTGCGAGGCAAGGATATCTAATTTTTGTGTGTCTCTTCCTCACCTCCTCAGCTCGCTCTCATCTCTGGTTGGATTTCAGCTGACTTCATGTGTGGAAATCAAGCGGGAGCATCAGCCACTGAAAAATGAAGCCTGACCACATGAGCTGAAAACTGCAGTTTCACAAATGGCTACTTGAGGCCAGAGCCACAAGCGACGTAATCCCCACAGACTCCTTGGTTAAAAGGAACAAATTAACAGCAGAAATATCCATGTTTGCAGCCTGTTACTAAGACACTTGTCTCTATAACTAATTTTCCCTTTGGTGAAAACCGCATGATTGATAGACATTTTTACAGTTTCTTTTTGATGTAGCAGCTTTCCAGTTTCAGTGGGAAGGGCTAATAGTTGAGACCGAGAGGCGGGGCTTCACAGGTACTACCTACTAGCGGCCATCTTAACTCAGCAACTCAACAACAATGTTTCAAGTTCAGATCCAACTAAACAGTGTCGTAAACTCCTAAACAGCATGTAAAGATTTTTTGTCCTTTCCTCTTGTCACTTGCTTCACTCTTAACTAGCTAGAGAGGAAATGTTAGCTAGGTTGCATTAGCTAGCTGACGTTCTTGCGATGCACTCCCCCTATGAGCCAGAAGCTGGGGGTAGCCTAGTGTTTTCATTGGTGCAGTAAAATTATTCTAATGGAAAAGGCCTGGGGCAATGACAGGAAGTCCTGCTGTCCTTTCATCTGAAGCTTCTAGTGGAAAAATGCGTAAGTGTAAAAAAGACCTTGCAGTGGCATCGAAAAGAAACTGAAGAAACACCCCCCCCCCCCCACTGTAAACAAAAAAGGTCAGTCAGTGTAAACAAATCTCTTTATTAAGGTTGTTAAACGCTTCTTAAAATGTTGGTATTTTAGCTTTCAGTGGAGCTTTTTATGTCTTTTTATATAATCATAAAAACGACATAAGCTTTCATGCCACTGTTTCCATTTTTGGGTTTCAGATTTCAAAGATTGGCATCTATTCTGGTGGCATGAAATGTAATTTGATATCTTAATAAAAAATGAATAAATAATGTGATTTTCTTTTTCAGCTTTTTTCTTAACAATGATTTTGATTATTATCAACACTGTTAATTTATCACATCTGTGACAAAACCCTAACACTGGGACATGGTCTGATTCATTTGTTGAGCACTGTACATCACTCTATCTCTGACTGTATTTATATTAAAAACTCCTTTCTGAGTTATTTATATCCCTTTATGCATTTACGTCCTAGAAAAGCCGCACAGCTTCCTGGTTGTGTTACTGAGCAAAGAGAACCATAAAGGCCAGGTAGAGAGAAAGCAGCTCTTTTGCGCTGGGGGTTACGATTGATGAGGCTCATTGTGGCAGTGCAGGAAGCTAATGAGTCAGAACCACGAGTCAAGCTGTTGGGAAATCACGCCGCCACCAACCCTCCCTGTAAAAACCCAACGTGAGATCTTCAACTCCAAACAAATGCTACTGGAGAGACACAGGCTGACTGAAAATGAGACACCGGAGAACGAGCGCTTATGTCACTGCTTTACTTCAACAGTAGTTCATTTCTACAACAGTTATTTCAGCTTAACGATCCACAAATTACCAATAATCTGAAAGCGAATCACCACTTACAGTACAGTACTATACACACACACATACAGAATACACACCTTTAAAAATAAAAGCAAAGAAATTAAATAGTGCCTCATAATTTAACATGTCTTCTTGACTCTGATCAGTACTGAATAATATAAACATGTGTGGCTACTTTACTTTTAAGTTTATCTATTGACATAACCCTGATTCCTTTGTTTGTAGTGTTATTCAGAGTCTCTGAGCTGTGGGTGTTAAGTGGGCTACAGTTTCTCTTCAAATCATCTTCTTTAATCAACACCAACACAGCAGGAGAGAATACTCTCAACTTTACTTTCTACTCGTCAGCCACACATGTTAAACAGAGACTGTCACTCACATCTGTCCCACCGAACAATGGAAGATCAAATTGTTATGTTGAACATCTTTCTATTTAGACATCCAGCATCCACGGGCACTTTAAATCCTAATTTATATTCACATGTTTCTTGGTTAGTCTGCTGTTTGGTGCTGTGCACCTACCAGGAAAAAAAATGAAGAGTGGCTAAGATTGCTGATTATATTGTTACATTT